GAGACGAACGGCCGCGACAGTCCGCTCGGCCGACAGACGCGTCCGCGACACCGTGCAGGAAGGTACCGTTCTCTCTGCGTTCACGGGGCTCGTCTCGACGCAGCGAGTGCCTCTTAAACCATTGCTCGAGTCGCTCCTCGACGCGAGTAACGCGTGTCGGCCTACGATCGTATCGAGGCGAGAAGTCGACGAAGAAGTTTTCTCAGTGTTCTATCGTCCTCCTGGGGATTTACACAGAAACCGATATATCGGTTCGGATCTCGCGATCGAACAAGTGAGAGAGCGTCGCTCCGTTTCACTGGTTATGCGACCCGTGCGGATCCGAAGTGCGTGAGAAAGTATACGGGGGTGTGTTCCGGGTGTAAAAGGGCACCGCTCCGTTTCGCTAGATTTCTGGTGCTGGTCCATCCGTGAGATTTCACGGTGCGATCTCTGACGACTAGAGTTTCTTGTTCCTTGTTCCTGGTAGCTGCCAGGATTGTCACAGAGGAGACACTGGTGCTTTTATCGTTCAGTGAGAGTTTGCGCTTACAGTGAGAAATCTTCGATAGTTATTTAGCCGAAGGTTTTCATTCATCTGAAGCAACGTCGATCCGAGAGAAAAGGGTCGCTGGTGAGATGCTTGGCAGGTTCACGGTTGTACGGTGATTCGCGTGATCCCGTCGCTGAGCGTCGGATACCCTCACTGTCCGCGAACGACAGTCTTCCATCTATCGAACGGTGGATTTATCGTAAAATCATCTCTCCGATGCGCCGCATGTTCGACGAAGCTATTAGACAGAATCCTCTATCGACAGTTCGTCGTCGTTTCTATCGGATTCCGGCAAAGTTAGACCAATGAGAGGGCCAGTAAGGTGCGCTCCAGGTGAGAGAAACACGGGGTGGACCCATGGAACGCGAACCACGGTGGGCACCGTTGGAAACAGAACACCGGAGAAATTTCGCCGATTCTAACGACCAATCGCGCATCACCGACGATTTCATCAAAGAATTTCGCCACTCGTCGAGTCAACAACGTTCGACGACTTTCTCGATCTGTTAGACGCTCCGGTAGAACACACCGAACCAGAGGAGCGTGCAAAAAACGTGGGAAGATTTGTCGGTCGTTGAAAGTTGAACGAAAGCTGAGAGTCGCGAGAGGAATGTATCGAGGATAAAGAGGGACGAACGAGGATACGCGAGTCCCAGAATTTCGATCTTCGACTTGAGAAAAAAAGGAAAGGAAAGAGATAGGACAGGAAGAAGAAGAAGAAGAAGAAGAAGAAAAGAAAACGAGAACCGATTCTAACGAAAATAGTGAAGTGTGGATGTGGTGTCCGTGCAACAGTGGTGGAAGGTGGTTGTGGACGACAACAAGAAAAGTGCAGGTGTCGTTGTTTGTTATTCTTGTTTTTGTCGTGGTTGTTTGTTGATTGTTGTATTCTTGGTGAGCAGTGGTGACGCGGTGCGCGCTGCTCGTTCGTCCACGTTGTTAACGATGGTTTCCACGTCCTTTGTAACTTTGGTGTTCTTCGTCTGCCTGCAAACGATTCTACTCTCCACTGTGAGCAACTGCGCAAAGACGATCAGCATGTACTGGAACACCACCAATTCCATGTAAGCCAAATCCAAATTTTCTGCTCCGCGCGAGGAAAATCCTCCGCCACGTGACTCTTCCCAGACCTTGAGACGCTGAAAGATTCATTTTGTTCGCGTCTGCTGTGCTCGTCGGGTCTCGCGCAAATACGCGTACACGCGTTGGCACGCGTGCCAAACGCGTCTCGTAGCGATGCTCGTCGGAGAATCGATTTTTCGCGGCGTCGTGCCTTTTGAGTAACGATCCTGCGCTTCCGGCGCGGCGGAGCTTTTATCGCGACGAAGCCGCGGTATCGTGTCTGCCAAAATTACAGGGGCGCATCGCGACGCCGGCCACGCTTTAATGCGCTCGCGAAATGGACCGAGCCATGGGGATCGTTCCGACGTCGACTCGGTCCAAATCGCCGACGATAAAAGCGAAGAAACGGCGATTTCCAGCAGCTAGAACCACGGGAAATTGCTTTCGGCGTAGCCGCGTGACCGATCAATTTTCTTCGTTCTACAGGAGTGCTTGAACTTTGACTAACTGGCTGTAAAATTCGTTAGCGAGTGTCAACTTCCTTGCGTCGTTTTTATTCGGTACCGATGTTCTTTGCGACTTTAAACCGTTAAACCCGTACGGTTCCTTTTAATGGTTCTGTGCGTCGGTCTTGCCTATATAACAACTGCTCGAACACCGTGACAGGTGAAAAACGTCGAGATATATTAAACCGCATTTAGACCATAATTTGCGGCGCGACTGTGATTGTATATTATAGGTTAACGCATGCGCTTACCTCTAAACGCGCTATCCGTGGGAATTTTTATTCGGCTTTATCAACGAATATTTTACCAAGTATCGCGTTTTGTTTTTCCCAACTCAACCGAACTTCTCGCGTGGACAAATTCGATATTCGCAGTCGTCATCGAACGTGCGCGAGAAACGATCGGCTATAAAGCGCGAGAACTAGAACATATCCATGCAGAAAGGGTGGAGAATGAAGGAAGCTACGGTAATTCAAGGTGTATAATACTCGTCAGAATTTACGCGTCACGCGTTTTGTATCGCGCATAAGCATACGTTTTGTTTCACGCGAAACGTGTAAATCTGGCCGGGTAACGAGGCTCGTTATTTTATCTGGAAAAAAAATCTATAAGTGCGTTCTCTGTTGCTCGCTTCCTGCTCGGACGACGAGCGAAATCAAAGTGGCGCTCGTCAAACCGAAGCGGCAGGCTCGATTCACCACACTGCCAATTAAATCCACATTACGTAGTTAATCTAATCTGTCACGGTATTTTTCTACTTGTCCCGGATAACTCGTTTCGTGTGTGAAACAACGGTAAAAAAATCATATTCTCGTCGTGTACAAGAACGTACCGAAAATTTGCGTGTAACTTGGTTAGATTTCGCGTGAAAATCATCCTGGGCTACCGTAACAGTACCCTGTCGACGAATTGTGCTAGTAAGAGGCTCGTAACGTTCCCGTTCTTTTTTTCTTCTCTTTTTTTTTCTTCTTCTTCTTTTTTTTCTTGTTACTCGAGGAAGCGGTGTCCTTATAAGCAGCTTGTTAGCCGAGCAATTTCTTTTGCTGGTTTTGCCCGGCAATTTGCGTAGTTCGCACTACTTTTTAGTATCCTCGCCGGTGCGGCGGTGAATGCGTAAATTCGCGCACGATACGCGTTGGACAAGAAACACGCTCGTGATTCGCGTCAACGTTATAATCGACGCGATATCGTTTCTTTTTTCGCTCGCTTCGCCTCCTTTTCGACGAGCGTGAAAAACTTGCCAGCCTCGTAATTTTCTCGATCGTCTGTAGTTTCTTGCCGATCGTTTTCTCGATCTCGCCATCGTTGTCGCCGCACATCCCGCCAACTAATTCGGTCCGAGAAAGAACGCTCGTAAAACGAAATTTTTGCTCGCCATCGAACTTTCAAGGACGCGGCCCGAAGATCGGTCGAACTTGGACGAAAAATTATCAGAAATTCGATTGCACGATCGCGAAGGATATTTTGTAGAAGTTCCGCCGTAAAGAATATCTCGAAATCACCACGGTAGAACGAAATTTTCGAAGGAACGCCCCGAAAGGTATCGCGTGGATATCCGGCGGTAAGTTAACGTAACTTTTTATCGTGCACGGTGTGCTCGAGAACTTGAATGCGCGTATTCAAGTTGCCCGGCGCATCAGTGTGTGCGTGCACAGCGCGCATCGTACAACGAAATCCGGGCACCCTATTCTCCTCTCTCGTATAAGGCCCCGACGTCCGGCTGACTTTGACGATCGGTTTGAAGTCGCGCATGCATTACTTACAGCCAGGACGACGTGGACTCTGGAACGTGTGCGTGCCCGTACGTGTGAGAATCCATTTCGCGAAGGAGAAGGACGTTGTCAGACTGTCTTTTTCAAGGGACGTACGAAGGGCAGTAAAAAACACGTCCCGCACGGAAAAAAATCGAAAAGGAAGTAACACGCACATAGCGAGCAAAAAGGAAACGGAGAAGATAGGGCAGAAAGAGAGAAAAACGAGGGAAAATATACTGCTGGAGAGAAGAGTGTGTTCTCGTCGAAGAAGCGAGACCGCGCGCATAAAGAGGGTGTAAATCTCGGCCGCTTATTGGAAAATCGAAATTCGCTTGAAGAAATTCAGCGTAAAACAAGGGTAGAGGAGGGAAGAAGGGGTGCGGAGAGAAAAAAGCTGTCACGCGAAGCACGGAGATCAGTGGCTCGTTGATTATCATAAATCCGTTTCCACGATGTTACGCTGGCAAGCGTATTCTCTACTGGCGGGCCAGAGCGCGCCAGCATTGACGTTTACTGCCTCGTTGTGTTTTCGACGAGAATTCGACTCTTTGTAACTATGGTGGAACGTATTAAAAACGATTGGCATCTCTTTACTTGCCTGTGTCGAACACGTTAAAACGATTTGATATTCGCTGAAAATATGGTGAAAGATAATTCTGCTGGTTAATAAGACGACGAAACGTTCAAACTATTCTTTTAATCGGAGCGGCAATGGATCTAAATCGTCATGGGATCAATTACTCGTTCGAGTTTCGCGGAGATAATTGATTTAAAGAAGAATTTTAAACGATCACGATGTCGTTGGCGAAATAACGACGACAGAGGCACGATCGCGGCAGCAGATGCTGCAGCGCCGCTGGAGACTTCAATGCCGGACAAGAAGATCTGCCGCGGCAGATTATTGAACTCTCTACTCTTCGGAGCGCGCGCGCGCACGGCTAGACGATTCTATCGAGTCGAGGAAGGCATGGAACGGCCCGTGCAATAAGCGTTTCTGCCTGTCGTTGCGCTTACGGTTTCGTATTCGACTTGTTTCGCACATACGCGTAACACGGCCTGTCGTATTTTTGATCGGCCACGTCGTTAATTCCGCAACAAGACCAACGTGCTGACAAAGTATCAAACTGTACTTTATATTTCACGATAACGGTGCCGGTATTATCGACACCTGAGAGACGATTATACTCATTCGTATTAGAATATATTTATGACACTCGTTTGTACTATGTACGATATGTACTACGTTCCTGACACTTTATCGCATTCGAACAACGATATTCGTCACAGCGTGTCAAAAATGTTTCGCACTTTACCTAGCTTCGCGTAAACATATCGAGCTAGTGTCAAATAACCTGATCGTGTAAATTAATTTTTTTATTATATTATATTATATAGTGTACAGTGGAGAGGAAGCGATATATCTGGATCTGATAAGAGAACGTTTCTGTACAGTCACCTGTTCCATCGATTCGTCAGTTACTTTTAATTTACTCGCAATCTCGCAACTCGAGTCGAAAAATCACGGTCAATGAAAACCGCTTGTCGCTTTGCAAGCGATAGTATGAAAAATTGAGAAACCAGCAGTTTCGAAGCAGTTGACGACTGTCAGAATTATGCCGTTAACGCGTAACGCTAGCGACAAGCGTGACGGATTTCGTCGATACAATCGCGAATCGAACGTATCGTCCGCGAAACCGATACGCGATGGCATGTTCGTTACGTACGAAATATCTATGCGTAATAAATATGTACGCGAAGAAATTGCTAATTGTACGAAAATGGCGGTTTTAGCAAGTCGAGCGTTAACGATGCGCCACGGCCTAAAATTAGAGTGCAGCGTGGCGCGTTACCCCGAAAAATCTTAATTTCGGCGCGGTGTAGATTTCATAAACCGTTACACTTTAACACAGCCTCGGTACCGTTATTAAATTGCCGGTGTACACGCAGCAAGAAGCTCGTTTTTGAAAACCACCGAAGATTCCTATTATCCGGCTCTCGGTAGCTTCGTTTCGTGGCGCTTTATAGCTTCGAGTATTAAGGCAACATCGATTTGCAGCAGCCACAAATCAGTGGTTTCCCCGAGGAAACTAGTACCCTTCGTACCGAAGATCGAGAATTCGCTGCCCGATTCGTGGAAATAACCGACGGCCGGCACGCCGTTGCCGTGTCGAATCACGCGGAAACAAAGAAACACCTTCGTCACGACGGGACGATAGGAAACAACCCGGAGATCACGTACGAATCGACCGATCCTAATTATTCCGCTAACTCCGACGAAAATAGCAACAAGAATTTCTGTTAAAATTCTGTTGTCAAAAAAATGTAACTTTAGGGGAGACACGTTGCGGCCTTCGTGCGGGAAAAACGAAATCTTCGTTTAATCACGCGTGGGAAAATAAACGACGAAACTACGCTGAAGGCAAATTGCACAGAAGTCAAATGGTACGCTGCAAATAGCTCGCTCTGCGAAGTATCATTACGAACAGTGTGAAATCTCTACATTCGCGAGTACCGCCAACCTGAAGTCATCGGTTCCCTTCTCGTTAAAGCGACGCCCTTTCTACAGTAAAATTGAAATCCGCTTCGCGGAGCGGGTGAATAACGACCTATAAAATCGCTTGTATCCCAGTCTAATCGTTTCATCTAATAACCTTACATTTTATTCCTGATTTAACGACGGTCGAGTGATCGGTAGTTTAGCTATTGAAAATAGAAGACGACGAATTTATTTTAAACAGATAA